TATGTTACCGCTTTGCTCAACCCTTCTTATAGCATTGTTAGTTGCAGGTGAAGATTGGAGTTTGTTACTTGTTGGAACATGGATATTTTGTTGGGATATCACAATATCTCTTATTTAATTAATGCATCTATATACTTGGTAAAGGGTGGAAGGCTCGGCCTTATGCCTGGTGTTTTGTTCCACTCTTGCAGCCCTAGTTTTCGTCATATCGGTGTTATGTTCCCGGATTTTGCGTTCCTTACATGGTTGGGTTATAATGGGAACCCCTTGACAGTTTGCTTTGAATAAAACTCCTCCAGCAAGGCCCAACCTTGGTTTTACCATTCGCCACCTAGCCTATTTTTCCCTTGGGTTAGGCCAGCCCAAGGGTCATCTTTATTTTAACCCCCCCCCCCCGGGGGCCAGTGCTTGTCTAAGTGTTGGTCCAAAATAGAGCCACTTGCGGCGCCACCTCGGGGAAACTTGAGGGCTGATTTTAGCTGTACGTAGTGTTCATCTGGTGTTGCCCTGAGAACGAGATATGTGCAGCTCCTATTAGGATGTCGGCGCATCGGGCGGTCTTGCTGGACTTGTTTTACCATTGTCGAGGATGTCTTGTAACCGGGATGTCAAGTCTGATCGGATTGTCTTGGGAGAAGGAATATCCTTCATTGACCGTGAGAGCTTGTGATGGACTAAGTTGGGACACCCCTGCAGGGTTATGAACTTTCGAAAGCCGTGCCCACGGTTATGGGCAGATGGGAATTTGTTAATGTCCGATTGTAGAAAACCTGAAACTTACCTTAATTAAAATGCATCAACCGTGTGTGTAACCGTGATGGTCTCTTCTCGGCAGAGTCCGGGAAGTGAACACGGTGTTGGAGTTATGCTTGACGTAGGTTGTTCTAGGATCACTTCTTGATCATAGTTTCTATACCGTGCCTTGCCTTCTCTTCTTGCTCTCTTTTGCGTATGTTAGCCACCATATATGCTAGTGCTTGCTGCAGCTCCACCTCACATACCTTTTACCCTTCCTATAAGCTTAAATAGTCTTGATCGCGAGGGTGTGAGATTGCTGAGTCCCCATGACTCACAGTTACTTCCAAAACCAGTTTGCAGGTGCCGATGATACTGTGCAGGTGACGCAACCGAGCTCAAGGAGGAGCTCGATGAAGTTCGTGTTCATTATGTTGTTCTGTTTCAGTTGATCAGTAGTGGAGCCCAGTTGGGGCGATCGGGGATCTGTGTAGCATTTGGGGTAGTCTTCTTTTACTTTGGGTTCCGTAGTCGGACCTTGATTGTATCTGGTGATGTAATGCTTTATTCATGTAATTGTGTGAAGTGGCAATTGTAAGCCAACTATGTATCTTTTTCCCTTATGTATTACATGGGTTGTGTGAAGATTACCTCACTTGCGACATTGCTTTCAATGCGGTTATGCCTCTAAGTCGTGCTTCGACACGTGGGAGATATAGCCGCATCGAGGGTGTTACATATAGGGAGTGTGCGATGATGATCAAATCAAGCTTGGAACTACTTCCAACACACATCGTCACTTCACCCTTAACTAGTTTATGTTCATTCTGCAACTCCCGTTTCAAGTTACTACTCTTAGCAATTGAACTAGTATCAAATACTGAGGGGTTGCTATAAACACTAGTACAGTACACATCACTACCATGTATATCACATATACCTATGTTCACTTTGCCATCCTTCTTATCCACCAATTACTTGGGGTATTTCCGCTTCCAGTGACCAGTCCCTTTGTAGTAGAAGCACTTAGTTTCAGGCTTAGGTCCAGATTTGGGCTTCTTATCTCGAGCAGAAACTTGCTTGTCGTTCTTCTTGAAGTTCCCCTTCTTCCCTTTGCCCCTTTTCTTGAAACTAGTGGTCTTGTCAACCATCAACACTTGATGTTTTTCTTGATTTCTACCGTCATCGATTTCAGCATCACGAAGAGTTTTGGGAATCGTTTCCGTTATCCCTTGCATATTATAGTTCATCACGAAGTTCTAGTAACTTGGTGATAGTGACTAGAGAACTCTGTCAATCACTATCTTATCTGGAAGATTAACTCCCACTTGATTCAAGTGATTGTAGTACTCAGACATTCTGAGAACATGCTCACTAGCTGAGCAATTCTCCTCCATCTTGTAGGCAAAGTACTTGTCAAAGGTCTCATACCTTTTGACATGGGCATGAGTCTGAAATACTAATTTCAACTCTTGAAACATCTCATATGCTCCATGGCGTTCAAAACGTCTTTAAAGACCAGATTCTTAGCCGTAATGGTGCACTAAACTATCAAGTAGTCATCATACCGAGCTTTTGTCAAAACGTTCATAACGTCTGCATCTGCTCCTGCAATAGTTCTGTCACCTAGCGGTGCATCAAGGACATAATACTTCTGTGCAACAATGAGGATAATCCTCAGATCACGGATCCAATCCGCATCATTGCTACTAACATCTTTCAACTTTGTTTTCTCTAAGAACATATCAAAAATAAAACAGGAAGCTAAACGCGAGCTATTGATCTACAACATAGATATGATAATACTACCAGGACTAAGTTCATGATAAATTAAAGTTCAATTAATCATATTACTTAAGAACTCCCACTTAGATAGACATCCCTCTAATCATCTAAGTGATCACGTGATCCAAATACACTAAACCATGTCTGATCATCACGTGAGATGGAATAGTTTTCAATGGAGAACATCACTATGTTGATCATATCTACTATATGATTCATGCTCGACCTTTCGGTCTCCAGTGTTCCGAGGCCATATCTGCATATGCTAGGCTCATCAAGTTTAACCTGAGTATTCCACGTGTGCAACTGTTTTGCACCCGTTGTATTTGAACGTAGAGCTTATCACACCCGATCATCACGTGGTGTCTCAGCACGAAGAACTTTCGCAACGGTGCATACTCAGGGAGAACACTTATACCTTGAAATTTAGTGAGAGATCATCTTGTAATGCTACCGTCGATCTAAGCAAGATAAGATGCATAAAAGATAAACATCACATGCAATCAATATAAGTGATATGATATGGCTATCATCATCTTGTGCTTGTGATCTCCATCTCCGAAGCACCGTCATGATCTCCATCGTCACCGGCATGACACCATGATCTCCATCATCTTGATCTATATCAATGTGTCGTCACATGGTCATCTCGCCAGCTATTGCTTTTGCAACTATTGCTATCGCATAGCGATAAAGTAAAGCAATTACATGGCACTTGCATCTTATGCAATAAAGAGACAACCATAAGGCTTTTGCCAGTTGCCGATAACTTCAACAAAACATGATCTTCTCATACAATAACTTATATCTCATCACGTCTTGACCATATCACATCACAACAAGCCCTGCAAAAATAAGTTAGACGTCCTCTACTTTGTTGTTGCAAGTTTTACGTGGCTGCTACAGGCTGAGCAAGAACCGTTCTTATGTACGCATCAAAACCACAATGATAGTTCGTCAAGTTAGTGATGTTGTAACCTTCTCAAGGACCGGGCGTAGCCACACTTGGTTCAACTAAAGTTGGAGAAACTGACACCCGGCAGCCACCTGTGTGCAAAACACGTCGGTAGAACCAGTCTCGAGTAAGCGTACGCGTAATGTCGGTCCGGGCCGCTTCATCCAACAATACCGCCGAACCAAAGTATGACATGCTGGTAAGAAGTATGACCTATATCGCCCACAACTCACTTGTGTTCTACTCGTGCATATAACATCTACGCATAAAACCAGGCTCGGATGCCACTGTTGGGGAATGTAGTAATTTCAAAAAAATTCCTACACACACAGGATCATGGTGATGCATAGCAACGAGAAGGGAGAGTGTTGTCCACGTACCCTCGTAGACCGAAAGCGAAACCGTTTGCACAACACGGTTGATGTAGTTGTATGTCTTCACGATCCGACCAATCAAGTACCAAACGTACGGCACCTCCGAGTTCAGCACACGTTCAGCTCGATGACGTCCCTCGAACTCCGATCCAGCCGAGCTTTGAGGGAGAGTTCCATCAGCACGACGGCGTGGTGATGATAATGATGTTCTACCGACGCAGGGCTTCGCCTAAGCACCACCACGATATTATCGAGGTGGATTATGGTGGAGGGGGCACCGCACACGGCTAAGAGATCCAAGAGATCAATTGTTGTGTCTAGAGGTGCCCCTGCCCCCGTATATAAAGGAGGGAGGGAGAGGCCGACCCTAGAGGGGGCGCGCCAAGTGTGGGGAGTCCTACTAGGACTCCCAAGTCCTAGTAGGATTCCCTTTCCTTTCCGGAGTAGGAGAGAAGGAAATAGGGGGAGAGGGAAAAGGAAAAGGGGGCTGCACCCCTTGTACAATTCGGACCAGAGAGGGGGCGCGCGCCTCCTTCCATTTGGCCTCTCTCTATTCCCGTATGGCCCAATACTTCTCCCGGTGAATTCCCATAACTCCACGGTACTCCGAAAATACCCGAATCACTCGGAACCTTTCCGATGTCCGAATATAGTCATCCAATATATCGATCTTTACGTCTCGACCATTTCGAGACTCCTCGTCATGTCTCCGATCTCATCTGGGACTCTGAACTACCTTCGGTACATCAAATCACATAAACTCATAATACAATCGTCACCAAAATTTTAAGCGTGCGGACCCTACGGGTTCGAGAACTATGTAGACATGACTGAGACACGTCTCCGGCCAATAACCAATAGCGGAACCTGGATGCTCATATTGGCTCCCACATATTCTACGAAGATCTTTATCGGTCAAACCGCATAACAACATACGTTGTTCCCTTTGTCATCGGTATGTTACCTGCCCGAGATTTGATCGTTGGTATCTCAATACCTAGTTCAATCTCGTTACTGGCAAGTCTCTTTACTCGTTCCGTAATACATCATCCCGTAACTAACTCATTAGTTACAATGCTTGCAAGGCTTATAGTGATGTGCATTACCGAGTGGGCCCAGAGATACCTCTCCGACAATCGGAGTGACAAATCCTAATCTCGAAATACGCCAACCCAACAAGTACCTTTAGGGACACCTGTAGAGCACCTTTATAATCATCCAGTTACGTTGTGACGTTTGGTAGCACACAAAGTGTTCCTCCGGTAAACGGGAGTTGCATAATCTCATAGTCATAGGAACATGTATAAGTCATGAAGAAAGCGATATCAACATACTAAACGATCAAGTGCTAAGCTAACGGAATGGGTCAAGTCAATCACATCATTCTCCTAATGATGTGATTCCGTTAATCAAATGACAACTCATGTCCATGGCTAGGAAACTCAACCATCTTTGATTAACGAGCTAGTCAAGTAGAGGCATACTAGTGACACTTTGTTTGTCTATGTATTCACACATGTATTATGTTTCCGGTTAATACAATTCTAGCATGAATAATAAACATTTATCATGAAATAAGGAAATAAATAATAACTTTATTATTGCCTCTGGGCATATTTCCTTCAGTTACATCGTGTATTTCCGGGAGTATGATAAATGAAGATGTTAACCTAGGTCGATTTTTGATTTGGTAACATAGGTGGAGTCATCCTGTACACATGTTTCCTGCAGTTCTGGAAGATACTATCGTATACGAGATCGAATTGCACGCACCGTCTGGGCCGGTTGATCACAAACGTCATGTGATCCGCCTCCACGATTTTGTAATACCTGAGTTTGCATTAATTGCCACAGTAAAAACACAAGAATGTAAGTGCTCTTATTTTGAGAAAGAGAAATGTCATAAAGCTTTTGCAGAAAGTAGAACAAGGTTTCCACTAAAAAATATTTGCTCATTCTATAGTCCCAAACAAACCGGACTGGAATGAAACAAAAAAAAAATCACATCACACCACATGATTGATTGTGATACTATGCCATACCAGATTCCTGGTTGAAGTCGATGGCGGTTTGAATCATCCTCTACTAAGAGGCTCGGATGTTCTACTGGAATCCGAGGGTGTGTCATCGAGAAGGTGTTCAACGCTCCATCATTATCCTCCCAATCTTCATCCCTACCATCACGTCAAAAGTAAGACTTAGCTAATTGTGACTGAGAAATAGCAAAACCTCACAGAAATGGGGCCAATTTTGAACATATGGAACTCCAAATGTACCATCTAAGATGGCTGACCTGTAATCTTTGCAAGGGGGCTCGGAGGCAAAGTGGCGCCACCGACACAATTGCATGACATGTATGAACACAAGAGGGTGAATGTGCATCACACCGGACGGCACGGTGACGCCACAAAACTTGGTTGTCCGCCTGGTAGCGTAGCTGAAGTAGAACGTGTTAGGGAACGTGCGCACATCGGCGTTCATCCTCGTGGCATTCTGGATGGTGAGGTCTGGTAGAATCCAGTCTCCTGTGGCGAACGGCCCCGACGTGCCAGCAAGTAGGCTGGGTAGGCCTGACACACCGACTGTGTGCCAAGACATGCCAAAGTGGTCGAAACCGAAGTCATAGTAGCGCTTGAGCCAGGGTATGTCGAGCCAGTGGTAGATGGTGGTACCCACTCGGTAGATCTGGGCGAGGCAGACGAAGCTCATAGACCGGTCATCTTCTGGACTGCCACGTTGTAGACGACACTATTTGAGTAGAGGACTAGTGTATAGAAGGTGTCGTGGTGCCACGAGATGAAGGTATGAAATCAAGATGACGATGGATACCTATTACCTGGTTATATGTGTATGCTATTATGCAACAAGTTTGGGTGAGATTAACTACCTATGGGTATGCATATTGGTCACAAGTACCACCTCCATTCCCAAATAATTGAAGTTTGGGTTTGCCACAAGTTAAACTTGTTTAAGTCTGACCAAGCCTATACAAAAAAAAACTATGACATATAGAACACTAAATTAGTCTCATGTGATTTTTTTTATGAAATATATTTGGTGTTGTAGATCTTTGCATATTTTCCAGTAGAGTTGTTCAAACGTAAGAAAATTTGACTTAAGAAAAATCTAGAACTTTGATTATTTTGAAATGAAGGGAGTAGTATCCATCGGGGATCACGGAGAATGGTACGTTCCGTCAGTCCCCGTTACCTGTGGGTAACTACACATTAGCACTGATTTGTGGGTCCATAATCATACCACGTCAAATTATTTAGATGTGCTATATGTTATTTAAACTTTTTTTGCGGATATGTTATTTAAACTATGGGTACCTACAAATTATCTGTGGGTCCATAATTGTAGTTACCTATGGTAACTACAAATTAGTCTGACTTGGTATTATATAGTATCATTTAAACTATGATGTATGTGAAGAATTCCCTAAAAAATGATGTATGTGAAGAATGTTGCTGCACCAATACATATTTTCTAAAACTTTAATTTTTGAGCTCTTGTACTGATTTTTGGAACGTGTGTCCACGCACACCCTTATGAACAGTAAGAAATGGTAAAAAAATAAAGTGGTTTTGATTTATTTTTTGGGGGAGGGAGGGGAGGGAGATTTTATTAAACCCATGGAGGAATGTCGTTCTTACAAAGACTCAAGATATGATATGTACTGATCCTAGCCAAACTGCGGTCCACAGGGTGCCTCGCCCATAAGAACGATTTAGATTTATAAGTATTCTTTAACAAACATGCTCGAGTATTCTAGGGAAAAAAGACACAGTCCATGGTATGGAAAATAACATGTCGGAGGAACTTCACATATGAGTAGAACAGTTGACTAGGTTTGTTGACCTAAAATTTTGACTTTTCCAAATTTCATTGACTTTTTAGATTTTAATGTTTATAAGGGGTGGGCGTGGACCCATGTTCACCATTGTATTTTCGACTTTGGTACGTCATTTTTTTTGTTCTTGGAGCTGATGTTGTTTGGTTGTCACCACCTGTTGTTTTGCAGCATGGTCGCGTGTATTGATCAGGGTGACCACTCCCATCCTGAAGCTCAAGGGACTCACCGTATTCCGCCGAGGTAGGCTGTCGTGGAACCATTGAGCACGCCAGAGAGGGAGGTGACGCTCAGCACCCAATTCTCAGAGGTGTTCTCGTAGCCGTCAAATGCCTAGAGAGATGACGCAACTTGTCAGTATTTGTGCGTGTGCGTGCTGGTCAGGTGGACAGAAAACATATACTACTATTCCATATGGTGAATGTGTAGAGCAGATCGAATTTTGGCTATCCAAGTATAAGGCTGGTCATCGTGGGGAGTAACTTATACTAGTGTTATGCATATGACACTAGTCTAAGTTACTAACCTCATAGTGGAAAGTAACATAATAGTAGTATCATAGATGGTCTTATTTATTACCTTGTAGACTCATCTTGTCTTGGGAAGTGCTATGTTACAATAATATATTATGTTACCACTTCTCGTTAACTACTTACCACATAAGCAAAAAAAATTTGAAGTGCATTATGTTACTAGCTATGTTACTCCCATTATGACTAGCCTAAACTTTCAACCTCCAAGTCTTGACGCTTACTCTTAAGCATACACGTCTCATTGCATGCATCGAGAATTCATAATGTCAATAGGCACAATGCACATATTTTGTCTTTAATTAGTTTTGACTTCTGAACATGGCACATATGGCAAACTGGGCATAGTTTAGATGATTAGATTTCTTATGGTGGAACCAGTCCACCAGGTTTCAAGTCCTAGACTTAACACTGATGCTCTCATTTTTCTTGATTTATTTCAGGCTTTCTGACAATGCTTATTTAGTGGGAGGAGATATTTCCATCGACTCCGGAGTCGTCTACGGTGGCTTCGTTAATCTTAGGCCTCCTTTGGTTTATAAGGTAGGAAAATCATAGAAATAAGAAAGTCATAGGAAATAAGATGATATGTATCTCAAATCCTATGAGTAGAAAATAGAAAAGAAAATGTCCTTTGATTCACATCATATGATTTTTTCCATTGAGTCTAGGCTAATGTTTATTTTCCTATGAAATATGGAGGATAGGAAGAATTCCTCCATAGGAATAGGATTTCGTTCCTACAAACCAAAGGGCTCTAAATTTTTTTTTTCTATAGAAATCTTATCCTATGAAATTCCTACAAGATTCCTCTAAATCAAAGAAGGCCTTAAGATGTTAAGCCAGCTGAGTATCTCGGAGATACTCATAAAGGTAATGTGCATGCGTGCATTCATATCAGTGGGATCATGGCGCGTATGGAAAACATGCATGTGGTGTGGCGTGTGCTGCATGCATGCATGATTTTCATGTCCTTGTCTCCCCCAACAACCCTAACAAACCCTCTCCTCTCTTCCGGCAATTCTAACAAACCCTAGCAATGTATGTCACATGGCAACATGTTTATTAGACTACACGTACCGCGGCTCAAAAGAAAATATTGCACGTATCGCTTGGCTTAGCTCCTCTGTTAATCGGTAATTTACGGAACGATGCTATTCGTACGTACGAGTTCTATGATTTTTTTTATGAGAGATGCCACACTTATGTAAAATTAGTTACGGGTTTTGCCTAACAATTGACGTGGAACTTTAGTATTGGATCGACTAAGGGAGAAAGGGCCCCAACCTTGTGAAAATCAGGGGAAAGAGAATTAGTTGGGGAAGGTTATGTGGGATTGAGTAGTTACATTATCTTCTGTATGCCCAAAGCTAAACATAAGATAGGCAGGTGGAGTAGACCAAGGTACGGGTATACTAAATTGAAGGTGGACGCTGGGTTTGATATGAATACACTTGAAGGATCGGTGGGAGCAGTCCTTCGTGATTGCAACGACAAGTTCATTGCTGCTACAAACAAAAAAAATAGACATATGCTTTGATTCATTTATATCAGAGTCTATTGCGGTAAGATTTGGAATGAATCTAGCCCATACTACTGGTTGTAGCAAGACTGAAATCAACTCCGACAATGTAGAGGTGGTTGAAGCTCTAAAGGAGAACAACTCTTCTTCAGTTGCTAGTGCTATATTCGATGATTGTTATTTCATGTCATTAGATTTCAATCATGCCATTTATGAACATTGTAATAGAGAGAGCAATCAAGTAGCTCACGAATTGGCTAGGTTAGCTAAGTTTTCTCCCCCTGGTTGTTGGATGGATACTGCCCCTAGTGCGGTTATTCCCTTTCTTGTAAGTGATGCCTTTATTTTGATCAATGAATAAAGGAGGAGATAGTTGTAAAAAAAGTAATGTGCACCAGTTCATTCCGGTAGCTGTTATTTAAAAGAGGTCTTCGTAGCGGGCACGTAGGTGTAGGATTATCGTAGCTAAAATCAGGGAGGTGGTTGCCGATCTGAACACACCACGTAAAGATTTTTTTTTAGAACCTTCATGTAAGAATAGGATTTTCGGTAATTACCAACTGATCGAATTCCTAAAGAGGTTTTCACTGTGTGATTTTGTAGAACCTTTATGTAAGAATAGGATTTTCGTAATTACCAACCGATTGAATTCCTGAGGTTTTCACTGCATGATTTTGTAGAACCTTTATGTAAGAATAGGATTTTCGGTAATTACCAACTGATCGAATTCCTAAAGAGGTTTTCACTGCGTGTGACTGACTCTATGAAGTACCTTGTCATGGAGCATCTGTTGCAGGAGCCTGATGACCTGCGCGCCGGCCGAGTGGCCCACGAAGTGGGCTGGGTGCTCCTCGTCCCACATTGGGTAGTGCCCTGAAATCCCTCAAAAAAAAAGGGTAGTGCCCTGAAGTTCAGAGGCACAAACAATCCATGTAACCACAGACCAAGGGATAATGGATGATGATCCATCTATCTATCAATTCTCACCGCGGTCGTATGCTCTGCCGAAGCGGGCGTGCCCGTACGCCCTGCTGTGCTCCTCGCCGTAGTCCACCCGGCCTCCTTTCAGGTAGTAGAACAGCTCCCGAGCCCTGAAACCAGACGTCAAATGCATCGATCGCCTGTCGTACCACACGTTTGTGCATGCTTGTGAGCGAGCCCAGGTCGCTACCTGTCGTGCATGCTTGTGAGCGAGCCCAGGTCGGGCACTAGCACCCGGTCGTCCTTCTCCTCCGCGCCGGCGAAGTACGACATCCCGGCCATCCTCTGAGACAATCAGAACGCTTAGCTAGCAAGACGCAAGATTCACAGGCCAGGCAGGCGTTTGAGACTAGAGTAGACCACTTACGCCCTTGCCGAACCCCAAGACGCCGTGGACCAGCACGATCGGCGGCACCGCGCCGTCGAGCACGGCCTCCGCTTGGCCGTCGCCGACGACGGCGTTCTTCGGCGCGCCGGCCAGCCGGGAGAGGTCGCGGCGGACGGCGGTGGTGAAGAGGTAGAACCCGTAGGTCAGGTGGACGACCGCGATGACGAGCAGCTCGGCCAGCCCCAGGGTGCCTAGCAGCCACGCCCTCACGAACTTCATCATATTGCTGGGGTCTCTCTTTCTTGTTGCCAGTCGAGTTCTCTGCTCTGCCCTGCTCTGCTTCGGTTCGTAGGTATCGATCGAGTAGCTCAACAGGCCAGCTTTTTAATTCGCTGAGAAGATGATGTTGCTTCGGTGCTTGGTTTCTTTGGCGTTGCAAATTCTGTCCGATCCAGATGATTCTCCGTAGAGCTGAGCGGGCTGCGACTCCACGCCATTCTTGTGCGCTTCCGTGTGCGCCCAAGCCACGAGAAACACGCTTGGTTCCTTTCCGTGTGGGGTTTGCAAATGGATATCTCTGAAGATACGCTCCCGGCTCCATAGAAATGGAGCTCTTTGGTGCATCGTGGATTGATTGGAAGAGGAATAAAGTTTGTGGGGGTAGAAGAAAACTAGCATGACATCTATGAACGAGATAAACCCTAGTTTCATAGATAACCACGATCGAGCAACCATCGTGTGGTGAAGTTTTCTTACAGCGGGGTTGTTTATGAAGATGGCGGCAGGGAGTCAAGTTAGTACTGTACGAAGAGGAGGGCGCAGAAGAAGGTGAAGCACAAATGTGAGAACTTCTCACCCTGCTGCACGAATGGGAGAGGATCGGCAGACTTGGCGACGGTAAACGCATGAGAGAACATAAGGGTGTTTTAAGCGGTGACTCTCTCGAGAGGAATACCTCGTAGTATCGATAACTTGTAACTCACCAATTCACAGATCTGTGGGACGCACACACCAGACAAGGAACCACACTGGCGCGCACTTTACAACATGGTACTAAGACAAGGTTTACAAAGCCATTCTGGCCTGCTTATTATACCAACGTCACAGATGGGAGTTTAACGGCAATGGAAGACAATAACTAGGGAGAGGATGTTGTTGCCGCTCTCTCTCACGCCGGACGGAGGTGGAAGAAGTGGACTCCCCTTGTCCTTCGTCTACCTTCCATCAGAGAGAGAGAGCTAGCTAGGCCTGCTGCAACAACAATTGAGGACAGACTTGGTGCAAGAGCACTCCACATGAAACTGGCTGGGAAACTCTCCTAGCAAACAAACATTCTCGCTTCACGCTAGTGGAAGATGGCTCCTCAGATGGATCTGGCCAAAGCAACGAGCCAATGAGTACTTTTAAAGTAGATAACCAAATAACATATATCACTAAGCAGAGCAAACCATGGCATAAACATTTCATGAGGATTCAAGTCATGGCATAGGCAAGCTTAGCAAACTTTATCTAGCAGGTATGATAGAGATAAAACATACATATGTAAGTTTATAATAATTCAAGTCAAACTCAAGATCCTTTCAAGGCCATAACCAAATTATCATGATCACCGAGATCAGTATTTCCAACACCTGTATTTTTTAACATCACCATTCATCTTTGTTTCATATGCTCAACGTTTGTCCAAGTTTATTTGTCTACACCTTTATTAAGGGTTAAACATCCAAGTTCGACAAAGACTGAATAATGTGACTTATCCGGACTCGACAGTAGATAAGGCTACTTGAATAGTTTAGACTCTGCAGAGATTGTACACTTTACCCATACGACAGAACACCCTTTGTAGGGATACCCTGCCAAAATCATCACTAGGCCATACGCTAGCAGTAGGTGTTGTTACTTGGCAAATGGCCAATATCAATTCCCCTGGAGCCATGCTTCATTCCTAGGTTGACATTTTGAGCTATTGAATGACGTGTCCAAAACTCGGATGTAATGGAATAGTGGAAAATATACTTGGTTCATGAGATGCCATTTTGGACAGAAAAAGGAAATGGATGCTCTGCTCATTGATTGAACTGCGCAATCTCAAGTCTTTGCAATTTGCGGAATGATTTGATGCATGGGAAAGAAGTCCTGCCAGTTTGGGTGCCTCGAAATTTTCTTTGCGGCTACCTCAGCTCGGTTACTAACGCTAAGTTACTTTCTGTCGAGGGTCTTATGAAAGTAAAACCTCCGGTGATGGACATAGGATGGACTCAGGGTGCAAAGCTTCCAAAGCCGTCCCCTCTTTTCCTCCCCTACCGGCGGACTGGCTGGCACTCACGGTCGACGGTTCTTTCAGTAATAAGGATGGCTCGGCTGGGGTAGGCATGATCTTAAGAGATACGCAGGAGGAGTGATCTTTGTTGCTTGTCAAAGTGCTCTTCTATTGCAACAATGCCCTAGAAGCAGAAATTCAAGCAATTATGCTAGGGATGAACCTTTCTCTCCAATGGTCAAGTCTTCTGATTTTGGTGCGGTTAGATTCTAAGGTAGTGTTGTCTTCTCTATCAGACACTTCACTTCTCAACTCAGAGTTTGGTAATTTAGTCAAGGAGATTAAAACTTTCTTAACTGGTTAGGGAGTGTAAACATTTGAAGCTTTCGAGAGGTTAGAACAAGGTAGCACATTGTTCGGCTAATTATGCTCGCATGGGCCGTAGCATCGCTTGTTGGTTGTGGCGTGGTCCAACTTTTATCTCTGATCTTGTATTGGTCGATTGTAACCCTGTTGACATTGAATAAAACTCCCTTATTACCCGCAGAAAAAAAAACCTAAAGTCTTCGCATATATTGGCAACATATGGTTAGGAGAAGGTCCATGAATTATTTGGGACATCTCAAATTAATGAAATAATAGTCGCCTTGTAATGTGACATAAAAGTGGACGCAATTGTTCTGATCCCAAGCTCATGTGAGCTCGGGTGAACAATAAAATAAAAAAGGGCAAAAAAATCAATTTTTTTTGAATTTTTTGTGTGACAAACATTAACAAATGTTTTGATTGCTTGTAATGTTTCATCACCAAATGACATTCGTGGAAAATGTGGCAAAAAACAAAATTATTGCTCCGGGATATTATTTTCAGAAGCACCATGGAGCATCGATTTTGTTTTTTTGGTCACGTCTTCCACGAATATGATTTCACGATGAAGCTTTGCAAGTAATGAAAAATTTATAAATGTTTGGAACAAAAAAGTCATTTTTTTTATTTTACTGTTCACCCAAGCTCATATGAGCTCGGGATTAGAACAACACTTTCGCAAAAAGTCACTTTTAAAATAGGGAAATAGTATTTTTCATAATTCAAATGGAACCAACCTTTGGAATAGATGCAAATGTGGAGACATATATCATCTCCATAAATTTTCGTGATTTATGGAAGAGGGAAAAAGTATTGGTTTGAATTTATGAGCCACTTATGGCCGCAAAATCAATATTTAATATATGAGAAAATATTTTGCGATAGATGGAGAGCGGCGATTTGGTGCCCGGGCTCAGATGAGCCGAGGCATGAATAGTACCGTGATTTGAAAGGAAAAAAGTTCAAAAAGTTTCAATTTTTTTATGGTGCAAGATGCTTCTGTGCATGAACTTCGTGTAAAAATGTTGTGAAGTTTCGACATTCGAAGTGCTCGTGGCAAAAAAGACAAATTTCGGATGTCTGGGAATCTTTTGAAAATCGCACATTTCACGCCTGATTTTGTCTTTTTTGCCAGGAGCTCCTCGACATCTTGCACCACAAAATATTAACTTTTTTCCTTTTTAAATTGTGTTACTGCTCACCGGGCTCATCTGAGCCCGAGCTCTGGGTTGAATTATCAGCAATGGATGGCATTTTTTTGTAGATCACTTGCTCACTCCCACAAATTACATGGGCCAACCCATTCGTGTTTCTCCAGATTCCTTTCCCTGTTCCGGTTCTTCTCCGGTTCGTACTTTTATTTTTCTTCTCTAGGTTTTATTGCAGTTTTTATTGGATTTTTTTCTTATATTCTGCTTTTTTGCTTTTTTCAATAAAAATATATAAATATTTTTTAGAAATAGATGTTAACATTTATGTAAATAATACAAGTAATTTTAAATTATACAAACATTTAAATAATAAATGTGAACACTTTTTAAATTGCATATATTTTTAAATGCGTGACACTTATAAAATTACATGAAGCTTCTTTTAAAATATTTTATCATTTTTAAAATTACACGAACATTTTTTGAAAATATGTAAACACTTTATGAAATTGCATAAATATTTTTAAATACGTTAACACTATTTAAACTACATGAGCGATCCTTATGTCGATTTATGTTGTAGATGGCACCATCCATTTACCGCTTTCATTTCTGTCCATGTTTTGTTATATACTCTGTTCTGCCAATAAGCAACTGTGCTGTTTATCAGATGTTGCTAAGATGCCCCGATTTGTATGAATCTTGTGGACGCTTTCCAGTGTCTACCTGTTTGAAATACGTAAGAATCACAGTTGTATTTATTTGTCAGATGGTGTAAACTCACATTTTGTAACGTGAAAATGTAACAAAGAAACAGAAAAAACAGTTTTTTTTATCAGAATTATGTAATGGAATTTACAATCGACTTGAGACCGTGAGCTACTGCAGATATTATAGTATTCATTCATCATTTGAAAATAAGCTGTTAGTTATAATAAACTGTTTGAAACCCGTCCTAGTATACAGCTGGCTTATACATACCCAACCTGTATGACAAGTAGTAGCATCCCTCGCAAAAAAAAGACTGTATGACTTACGTAGCCGCCGTCAGTAGCAAATTGCACACGCATAGATGACTAACTGAGCTGCCGCGCTGGTTGCTCGAGCACCGCGGCGCGACCCTTTCCGGGCCTATCGGCTCGGACTCGCCTGCCGGTCGGTCGGCCTCTCGACGGAGCGGTGCGCGCCAAAGACACGGCGGTGGAATTCCACGACCCCACGCGTACCACCAGTCGCGACGACCGGAGACGGCGCCAGCACGGCGCACGACGAGCCTCTCCGGTCCGGCGGAGCAGCAGCACGTCGACAAAAGCGCGAAACACGTCAGTGCGACGACGTGGCGGCGTCTCATTGGCCAGCACCGGGGCTTAAGCGAGCTTCATTTGCTGCCGCATTTAAAAGTGGGGCCGGCGCCCAGGTGGGGACGTCCCACCCTCGCGGTCGCGGGTCCACCACCGTGGACTTTGACGGGTCGTCGCCGGCGTCCGGTGGCTACGACGACGAGGACTCGGGACGGAGAAGGCCGCGCTCCTCCGGTCCACACCCCCACTCGCCCCCGCAAACGGCCCCGGGTCGTCGCGAATTCACGAAAATGCCACCCCGCTCCCCTCGCTGGATCACGACGCCCTGGTCAGCTGGTTGGTCGGGCCGGAGGGCATTACCGTGAATAAGCGCCACATCCGCGGGCTGTTGCGGCGCCCCGCGCGCTACAAATATTCCCTTGGCAATGGAAAGCCCAGCAGAAGCAGCAGCCTGGCTGGCAGCCACCAGCCCACCACCACTTCCTCGTCTCCGGCGAGCCACCGACGATGGGTAGCAGCCGCCGGCGGGGCGACCGCCACCTCAAGCTCCTGCACCGACTCCTCGCCCTCTCGTCGCTGCTCCTGCTCGCCTCCGGGGAGGTCATCTTCGAGGAGCGATTCGAAGGTAGTAGTGCTCCCGGTTCCCAGCTCAGTAGACTTGTTGCTTACTTACCAGTTTGGGAGGTGCCTGCGTGCTCCGTATTGTACCTGCTGCTATTTCCGTGCTGGTCCTCGTGAATCGAACTGGATTCGCTGCTCCCAAATTCCATTTTGGGCGAGTGATTGATGGGCGCCTGAAAAATTTCTGCATCGCCCCCTGGATTGACCAGTATTTTGTTCATGCCCTCGGGAATTCCTGCTTCCCCTGTTCATGGTTTTCCGGTTCACAAAGGATGTTGACTTCCTTTGAAGGACCGAGCAAGGAATTAAGTGGTTGGAGGTGAGTGATGTGGTGAGGTTTCCTGCTGAAATGATTAGTTCCTTCAGTGATGACAGTGGGTAGGAAGTGGGATTGGGAACTAGCGATGTTTAAGTTGAACTGATGTCTGTGTTCATGGGGAGCATCAGTGTGATGGAGTGGCCAGTGAATTGCTGACATGGCCTGGTTTGCTTGACTTAGCTGCGATGCCTTGTCCAATACATGAGTTCGATTAAGTTAGTGCTATTTTCTAGTGTCTCATATGGTTGTATGTTTCAGATGGTTGGGAGACTCGGTGGGTCAAATCCGATTGGAAGAAGAGCGAAGGGAAAGCCGGCATGTTCAAGCACACGGCAGGAAAATATTCTGGAGATCCTGATGACAAAGGTTTGCTTTCTCATCCCTCATACTCTGTTCTTGTTTAATTGATGATGATGATGGTTCGGTCGCAGGTCAAGTAAACTCCTGCTTGCGCTAGCTTAGTTCTGGATACTGTCTGATCCTTGTGTTCTATTTGTGTGCTCTAGGCATTCAAACAACAATAGATGCTAGGCATTTTGCCATCTCAGCCAAGATCCCAGAGTTCAGTAACAAGGGCCGGACATTGGTAGTCCAGTACTCCATAAAGTTTGAGCAGGAAATTGAATGTGGTGGCGGCTATATTAAGCTAATGTCTGGCTACGTCAACCAGAAGAAATATAGCGGAGACACTCCTTACAGGTATGTTATTGCCTACTTCTGCCCCGTTGAATTCCATGTTCTTACAAAGATCCACCATTGCTGTTCGTAAGCTCCTAAGCAGACCCTGTCACTCTTTTGACCATGTGATTGGGATGTCTGTATAGTTGATGAGCAAAAGTCTATCTCACATAATTTGTTATATTGTACTGTATTGTATATAAGTCCACCTAGATGCTATAGCTTGCAAATGTCCATTCATGATTAAGGCGAAATGAATAAATATAAACTGCTTATCTGTTCAGGTTTACTAGTCTACTGCTGAGTTGTGCTGATAACCTTCTCATTTTCTCTTATGCAGCTTGATGTTTGGGCCAGATATATGTGGGACTCAAACAAAGAAGCTGCATCTTATACTCTCTTACCAGGGGCAGAACTACCCTATCAAGAAAGATCTACAATGTGAAACTGACAGGCTGACGCATGTTTACACATTCATTCTTAGGCCCGACGCATCTTATAGTTTACTTGTTGATAACCGTGAAAGAGAATCTGGGAGCATGTACACTGATTGGGACATCTTGCCTCCTCGAAAAATTAAGGATGTTGGTGCAAAAAAGGTAGCTTGCTTTTTTGAAAAATGGAACTGTAATACAACTAGAAACGTTACAATGAGAGAATCATCTAACATATATGCATTTTTGCAGCCTAAGGATTGGGATGACAGAGAGTACATTGAGGATCCAGATGCGGTTAAACCCGAGGTTTGTGTGCCCATACATTATTATGTGAATTTGATTATTTTACAGTGTAGCAAATACTGTAGTTTTGTAACGGCTCATCTACCTTGGCCAGGGATATGATTCTATTCCAAGAGAGATTCCTGACCCAAAGGATAAAAAGGTATGAAACTTCCTATCTTAATGAAACTCAAGACATCAAACATTAAGTCGTTGCACTTCATATTCCATATTATAAATGGTTTTGACTTATTTGGTAATGCATCATTCAGTTCTAATTTATTAGCGTGAACTTGACCCATTTAACCACTTATCTGGCTCTACATATTTGGTCTTGCTGAAGATGTTTTGCATTTGAAGCATGCTATAGTTACCATCACATAAACTGTGGATGTCCTAGCACATCTAAAGAAACATTCTTACAATGAAGCTCGGTACAACTAAGAACACCGCATGATGACAAATATATGCATGTTGTGTTATTAATCAGCCCGACACATGGGACGATGATGATGATGGCATATGGAAACCTAGAAGGATACCGAATCCAGCATACAAAGGACAATGGAAGCGCAAGGTTTGTCTTGTTGTTTGTTCATCAGTCGTTCATCCTACTTTATTTCTTTGGTAGACTTCATGTTCTAACATTTTCTGCCCACAGAAAATTAAGAACCCTAACTACAAGGGTAAATGGAAGATCCCATGGATTGATAACCCAGGTAAGCAAATAGGAGAAGTGATATTGGACCCGACACTTGATTTTGAAGTGAACCTCTTGTCAAAGTTTGAAAGAATCTTAAACCATGAACTGTCGCACTTCTGCAGAGTTTGAGGATGATCCAGATTTATATGTACTGAAACCTTTGAAGTACATTGGAATTGAAGTTTGGCAGGTACCATATATTACAATATAGTGGTTTTCTGGAGATACATGTTCCATCATAACTATTGGTTGTTCTGAATGAAACACATTTGATATTGACTTAAACCTTACTCATGTGCAGGTAAAAGCCGGTTCGGTTTTTGACAACATTCTCATTTGCGATGACCCGGAGTATGCAAAACAGGTTGCCGATGAAACATGGGGTGCAAATAAGGAGGTAACCTCATATGTTTACTGAATTAACCTATGTTGCTGATATCCTGTAAGCAGTGTCTTACTTTTCTGTATGTTATAGGCTGAAAAGGAGGCTTTTGAAGAAGCTGAAAAGGAGAGGAAAGCTAGAGAAGACAAGGTTAAAATCTTCAATTAGCAATTGTTACTGGTCATTTTTTTTATGCCCTTGAGGCAGAACAGCAAAAGAATAACTGTCATTGGGAAAGAAGCTAAACATAACTGCTTGTGTACAGGAAGCTCAACAAGCAAGGGAGGAAGGAGAGCGACGGAGGAGAGAGAGGGGTGATCGACACCGTGGCAGGGACCATTACAAGGACAGATACAAAAGAGTAAGCTCACATGCCGTTCGCTTTCTTCCTGAAGCCACCCTAGAACTCTTTGAAGTATCAACTTCTGACTACCACCCTAGAACTCTTTGAAGTCTTATTCACTGATTCCCTCTTAACACACCTATTGACTGATGGAATATATCATTGCAAATCCCAAGTGCTTGAGACATTGCTAATATGGTAAACAAGTAGTATAACTGGATATGTTCTAATAATGGTATTCTTGAAGGCCGGGGTGTGTTGCCTTGTGCTGTAGTGTCATATACAAATGTATCATATGGTGAAACTGTGACTGTGTAAGACATCATATATAAATGAATGCATGATTACTGACATCCTTTTTGTCTTGTGTTTCAGCGCAACAGAGATCACTGGGATGACTACCATGTAAGTTGTGAAGCATCTCATTCGTTCATTTAATAATTCCAACTCGTGAATTAGATAGCATGTGGCTTATAACATTCTGGTTTCTTGTTCAGGATGAGCTTTGAAGCCTCCCAAATCATCAATTCTTCCAAGGAGAATAATTGAAGTGTTTCTTGTCTCGTGTGAGGGAAACTGATTGAATTGACCACGAAGATCATTCCTATGTGACAGCAGGACAGACAATTCCACTTATCCTCAAAAGTAAAAAACTTGGCCTTGGCCCTGCAATGTGATGTTGTGCGTGTAGTGTACATGGTCTGGGATGTACTTCCTTTTGTAAACTCAGATTACCTTTGCTGATATAATAAAGAGGTTCCATATTTATTGCATAACACAAATAACTGTTGTTGCCGAGGAGTTCTCACTCGATTTGTATACAAATTTTTATGTTGCTCCTGTAATCAGCATACACAAACACCTCCTAGGATTCAGCCTCTCAGGTAATGAAAAATAAAGCATGCATCCAGTAGAAGCATATATTAGCGTTTCTTTCATGCATAAGTTCATACATATCTATACTTGGAACTTCCTTGATTAATTGATTGGTATACCAGAATAGCATCAGAATCGTCTAAACACATTGATGCAAAAGGGGCAAGGTGACTCTGCATTGTCTGGCAGAACAAGTCTGATGTATGCCTGTGTTGGCAACAATTCACTATGTGTGCTTCAAGACAAATAGAAGGAGCATATCAGTTCTTCATCCAAGCTATATCATCCACATATGAAAAGCAATATCTTGGTTTATAGCTTGAGTCTACACATTAGGATAGAAACAATCTGATATGCACAGCACAAATTCAGTTGTTCTTTTCTACTCCCTCCGTTCCAAAATAGATGACTCAACTTTGTACTAACTTTAGTACAAAGTTGGGTCATCTATTTTGGAACGGAGGGAGTACATGCTTCTCATTCCTTCACATGCTATCCTTCATAAAAAGACTCCCTTTTGTTCAAAATGAACATGCACCTGAAAGTCAAGGTAAAAGAACTCCCTTCACATCTGAGATGACCAAAGAAGCGCATACCACCACATTTCCAAAACTGAAAGTACAGCATTGTGTCAACATGATACAATTTTACATACTTAAACAAAACCTATCCGCACTTCAAAACACAAAATGGCAATGGCTGGCAGAATAATACTGTCATATACTTGTACTGGCCCCGATTCACTATCCGAACTTTGAAACAAATAGAATGAACATACCAATTCTTCATCCAAGCTACATATATCATCCGTATGAAAAACAATATCTTGGGTTATAACTTGAATTTACACATTAGGATAGAAATAATCTGATATGTACAGCACAAATTCAGTTGTTCTTTTCCTACATGATTTCAATTCCTTTACATGCTACTTCACAAAAAGGATTCCTTCCTTTCTGTTCGAAATGAACATGCACCTGGAAGTTGAGATAAAAGAACTTTCACATCTGAGATGACGAAAGAAACCCATAACACCAGATTCTCAAAACTGAAAGTATAGGGTTGTGTCAACATGATACAATTTTACAACCTGAAACAAGACCTATCAAACATTTCAGTGAGCAGCTCTTCCACACTGACTGAAGGTCATACAAAATCCGCAACTCCTCTTCCGGGCAGCATATCCATTTGCAGAGCCCTGCCATTTCTGGAGGCGACCAAACCAACAGACAGCAGCGAGGGATCCGTAACTGGCTCAATCTCGATAAACCTCATCTCCAAAGACCCCGTGCGCTTCAAGCTCAAGACGAAGACCAGCACGATCCACCCGAGCATTGTGATCGCCCAGTAGTTATTCATCCCATGAATCAAACCCCAGGCAATGGAGTAGCCAACGATGATCCCCGACAGGTGGCCGATGAAGCTGGCCTGGGGAACCATGATGGATGTGAATATGAGCGACTCGAAGGGCGCGAAGCTGATGGGCAGCGAGAGGACCCCGAAGAGGTTGAGCTTGGACGACGGCTGCTTGGCGGCCAGGATGGTCATCCACCCGAAGACGACGCACGAGTAGCCCACGGCGGTCACCCTCCGGAAGTAGTCCACCTTGAACCTCCGGATCATCACGTGGTAGATCCCCAGCACGAGCAGCCCGGACAGCACCACCAGCACGAGGGTGTAGTGGAGGTAGTACTGGACGCCCAGCCCGGCGGCCTGCTCCACGGCGCCGAGGCTCCACAGCGCGCTCATGTTGAACACCAGGTGCACCACGCTGACGTGCGAGAAGGCGGCGGTGATGAGCCGCCAGTGCTGCCCGCCCTCCACGGCCGCCTCGTAGCTCAGCCCCACGTCCGCGTACCCGATGCCCCTCTTCTGGATGAGGAACCAGATGAGGGAGCAGAGGGCTATCACGCCGCTGCTCGCCGGCTTCTCCAGTATCTCGTAGATCAGAGGCTTCCCCATGGTGCCTGCCGGACCTAGCTTCTTCACCGAGACTGTGGCCCGAGGTTGACGAAGATCAGGAATGCTCCGCTGGAATTTGTGGATCGGGAGCAGAGGATCTAGCAGCGCCTCCCCTCCAAAAAGAGGCGGATTTGGTGCTCGCTGATCGAAGAGGGGATCAGTGGCTGGCCTGATGAACGGATCTCTGGCGGAAATCTAGGGTTCAGAGGCCCGAATTGAGAAGATTGAGGGGTTTGGAGATAGTAGATCAGTGGCTCTGACCTTGGGATTCTTGGAGGGGATTCGTTCGAGCGGCTTCTGGGGCGTGGGAGTCCAATGCCCTAGACTGTTCGAGTTCGATTCGGGGATACGTATTTCTTTTTCTTTTTTTCGACCCTTCAGAAGGAACAATGTTGTTTCACAACTGGTACAGGCCATCTGGGCCGGCACGGCACGACCCGCTGGAAAACCAGATCGACCCGATCCAGCGCTGGTTTTTTGGGTTTGGAAGTCACGGTTGACCAGTTGACCGGTCGACCGCTAACTTTTAAAAAATCAATTCAATAAACCTCACAGATTTTGGAAAAAAAATCACAAACTTAAAAAATGTTCATCAATTTGGAAAAAAACTTCATTGAATTTGAAAAAATCATTGATTTCGAAAAAAAACATCAAATTGAAAAAAACTTCATTGGTTTTGAAAAAACCTTTATCGAATTTGAAAAAATCATTAAAATTGAAAAGAGTTCATTTATTTTAAAAAATCATCAAATTTGAAAAAACTTCATTGATTTCTGAAAAAGTTGATCGAATTTGAAAAAGTTCATGCATTTAAAAAAAAGAAAAAAAAACTAAAGAAAAGAAACAAAAAAAAGGAAAAAATCATATAAAACGGTCTGGGAAGATACCACAACGAAAAAGAAAAACAACAACTAGAAGCTTCCCAAAACAGGGGGCTTCCACGAACTGGGGGAAGAATAAATAGAAAAAAGAAAGAAGAATCTACACACAAGTGTTGCGATGTCCTAATAGTTAGGTCGCTTCTCTCTGAACGTAGAGATCGCAAGTTCGAACCCGATGCACTCATCCTATGCTCGAAGGGAGGGGGTGTGCGCCGGTTGGCAAAAACGCCTTTAACCGGCGCATAAGGTGCCAAATAGGGTTGGGGCTGTGCCAACACGCCCGGCATGACACACGTGTACCAGCATGTGTGCTATTTGGCCTTTTGGGCAGTTTTGGGCCTATCTAAAAAACGTGTAGCGTTCCCGTTTCGCTCGGAGCGCATTCCCTCACTCTTCATCGAGCCCCTCAGCCTCTCCGTGTCCTTCCGAGTCTCCTGCCCCGCATGAAAACGTCACCTAAAAAACGAGGAAACCAACAAAAGCTTGGTTAGATGAAACTAGAGAGGGTTCCAAGCAAAAGTAGCATGTACCCCTTCGCTCATGAGCACCCTAGACGATTAGGGTTTCCTTTGCCTCCTATCGGGACCGTCGCCGGTCTGCCCCGCCTCTAGTGGCCTTAGGGCCATGGAGGTGCGATGGATCCCGACCTTTGCCGGGAGGAGGGCTTTGTTTTCAGATTTTTTATATATTTCTATTAGGTTTGTGTCCTGCTTAGAATGGTGATGCAACAACGGATCTCCAAAGATGGAACAAAGTTCTCCCCACCTAACCCATGTCCCGATGGTGCGTCTAGCGTCATCGAAGGGCGTGTGAAAGTGTGTCTCCGACAGATTTCATGAGATTCGATTGGTGTTTGTCTTCGTCGAATCCGCTTAGATCCTTTATGTGTTCATGCGTCGATAGATTGGATCATTTTGATCTTTGATTCTCTTCATCGGTGATGGTTGTTGTTCTGGAGTGCTAATCCCGTGGGGCCTTAGCATGACGACTTCCCGACTGTCTACTACAACAAGGTTTGACTGGCTCCGGTGAGGGGGGAGGGGGCGATGACGGCGACACGCCTTTAGCTCGCTCTGCTTATAGTCGTTGGTACTTGGTATACTGACCTGAGTGTAATCTTTGTTACATCTGGTATTCTTTGTCTGCTCGTTTTTGTGGATCAAGAGCAGAGGATCTAGCAGCACCTCCCCTCCAAAGGGGGGTGGATTGGGTACTCGTCGCCTGATGGATGGATCTCTGGCGGAAACCTAGGGTTCCGCGGCCCGAATTGAGATGATTGAGGGTTTTCGCGATGGATCAGTGGCTCTGACCTTGGGATTCTTGGAGGGGATTTATTCGAGCGGCTTCTGGGGCGTGGGAGTCCAATGCCCTAAACTGTTCGAGTTCGACTCGAGGATTTCCCTTTTTCTTTTTGCGATGCTTCACAAGGAACAATGTTGTTTCACAAACTAATACATGACTCTTTTTTTCCTTTTAGCAGCATCTCCCAGGCTGGCCATCTGGGCCGGCACGGCTCGGCCCGCCCTTAAACATGTCTGCCATGATACGACCCTCAGTGGAGAGCAACTAGTTGAGGAGCGCTCCTTCAGGAG